CTATTGTTGATGCCAAAATAATTATGGTAACCTTAACTCAAGAAAAGCATAATAATAAAAAATAACTATCTAAGAGTATTATTTTAATTTAGATGAAAGTTTACTTTCATATAATACACTTTATTATTATAATTTAATATAAACAAACGGCTAATTGTAACTGTAAGAAAGCATTATTGTAACTATCTAAGATTATTAATTTAAGTTGATGGAAGGTTAACTTCATATATTACACTTTTTTGTTAATTTAATTTATTAAAAAAAAAAAGGGTTAAAAAAATAAGTGAAATTAAACGGGAGGCATAAAATTTTTAAGATCCTGCAACATCGCAGAAAAAATTTCAGTTTTTTTTTTTTTTTTTTTTTTTTTTTTGTGCAAATGTCTATACATAAACTCGGACAAATAAGAATTGAAATGTGCCCCGATGGTGTTTATTACGCCATTTAGCACTGCCCCACAGTCGCTGTATCGTTTGCGTATGGTCCCCGTTTCGGGGTCCACAAAATTCTAGTTGTGGGTGACAGTAAAATGTTCAATGCCGACATATCGCAGTTCATCCAACTTATATGATTTCTAGCAGTCAGTATAAATAATGCTTCCTTCTGTGACATTTTCCTTTATGATGTTCGAACATCAGTGGCCGAGCGATAAAGTCGCTGAACACTGGTAGTTCGGTCTGAGGTTTGAATCCCGCAAACGGGCTGGCTGTATGGACAATTTAATGGTTTTTCTCTAACGTGTATACAAGCCAGTTTCCCTTAGAAAGTCCTCCACGTAGGCCTCTCTTCCCTTAGGGAGATAGCCCTCGAGGCTTTGCTCTAATCACATAAACCAAACCAAACCTTTATGATGTTCCATAAGGTTTTCACCGATCGATCTGGAATAGCGACTAAAACATTCTTTTGATTCTCTGCACAATCCACCGAAAACCCATTGTGGCAGAAGAAGACGTCCAATGTTATTCTTGCTTCTACTGAAAAGGCTTTTGTCTGCTTCATAATTTTTTCCACATCCGCCGAATTTCAACTTAGGCTGAGAAATTAAAGCTATGGCACACACCTCACGCATATCTTTCCAGTCTACAGTTGTATTGTGGTTCATCTTCAGTTGGAGTTCACAAAATTCAATAGATGTCATCTCTTGATACCAAAAATAGGTGAGCCTGCCTATCAGTTATAAGGAAGGGGATTTTCGTTCCTTCGATCCAATATCTGACTTCTTAATCCTTTCTTCAGAATACAGGTTCATTCCTGCACCTCCATTTCGCTATTGAGTTACCGCTAAAGCATAATTTCATCTCGTGGTTTTTCGATCATAATATTCTATAATGAATGATGTCTTTTCTTTGGAAAAAAAAAATTATATTGCAGACATTTTGTCATTGGGCAATTCCCAAATTGTTAGATCCATATCATTATCAAAAAAGAATAAAAAAAACCAGTATTTCCAATGGCGACTTACAAATATTCCCCCCCCCCAACGGCGGGCCTTCGGCTTGGCCACAACTAAGGCCAGGTGGTGGTCACTTTATTATGGAGGCACCTAATAAACCAATAGGGGTGTGCGGAAAAATCTATGAAGGAACCAGCAGTTATAACCATGCCTTCTCCGGAATTCGAGCCTAGGCCTTGTAGTATCGCAGTCAGCTTCCCTAATCAATATATCGTGTGGGCGATGACTTACAAATATAGAACTATTTAAATTTACGTGGTGTGAAATCGCCGCTTTCGTTAGATTTTGCGCATATATTTTTGCTGCAATTTGCTACGGCCCCTATAATGGAATTATACCACAAAATAGTACTTTTATTTGAATCGTGATGTTTTATACGATAAATAACACCAAGATTGAAAAATTCTTAAGCATACAAGTCTTGCACAATGAAAATATTTAAATTACCTTTGCAAACCTAACTTAACATACTATGTCACTTTATGTTTCTCTTTATATAAGTAATGTACAATTTTCATTATTTATAATATAATAAATTATGTTGATTTAGGGCCACTTTAACCCTGCAAGAAGTATAAATGTATACTTAAAACAAACAGTTTAAGAAATTGTGATTTTAAACATAGCATTAAGAAAATATCATCCAAATATAAAAAAAAGTTGCTTTTTACTGATTCTTGAATTTTTTCAGTTTCGTTTCCTCATTTCTTTCAAGTGAATTTGAAGGAATGTTTTGTACATAATTGTTCAAACATATATTTAGAAATCCTGACGACACTCATCTTTATTATCTTGTACAGCAAATTACATTCACAGCATCTTTTATTAATACGTACATACTATATTACAAAAATAACTGAGATGAGCCTCAGTTATTTTTGTAAGAAGCTGATGGTGTAGATGAAATGCTTTTCGTACTTTTCAGATATAATAGTCTGGAAAAGTAAATATGCAACTGATATCAATGCCACCATATTTTCTGCTGGGTCTTTGAAACTTCCCAAATTTTACAGTATCAATATATACATAATTTGTTTCCACTAATGTTCCATTTTTTCCGCCAAGATGCAGAAATCTATGCAAGCACTTTAGTTAGTTTCAATATTACTTGCACAATAAACAGCAATTGTATGTGAAAACTTCTGCAACAGTGTCTGAAACTGCAACCGATTTCACCGACCATTGGAAATAATTTCATTGATTAATACTTTTATGAACTTCTTTTACATCTGAAACTTCTGTAATAAACTGTTTTAGAGAGATGTATCGATAGGAATTAGAATGAAGCTGAAGAATAGACTTCAATTAAATTTTTTTTCTTTTATATTCCAGGATTTGCTGTACTGAAATATAGTAACTGCCTTCAGACATCTGATGAAAATCTGTACTCAAATTTGTGAGTTTGAAATTTACACGCTTAAAATTAATTTTGACCTAATTACTAAAAGTTCTTAATTCTATCGATGATAGCATATATAGTGTGAAAAAGAGCAAAAAATATTTCCTTGCGTAAACATTTGAAATGACTTTTTTTATTATCGTTGTTATTAATCTCACTGACAACACCTACGCTAATTCAAATGAAACGCGAAACGCTGGCGAGAAATTACAATAGGTTTACCATCATTTGTTGGCGATAGAAAGAAACGGCGCATGCGCAGTTCGTTCAAAAGATTTTCTCATAGGGAGCCGTTCACAGCCATCCCTGTTTTGAGCCGCTAGTTACAAAATTGAAGGACTAAGATTATGACGTCAGATCATGTGATCATCAGATTGGAGCAGGCCTGTAGATATATCTAGTTGGCCTTGCTACAGCTCACACTTGTGTGTAACAATATAAAACAATACTGCTAAGATTGTTTCGGGATTATTTCTATAATTACTGTTACATTTTTATTAAATTTTTGTTATTTAATTGAACTTGTTCTTTTATTGCGACTCTTTAATCGTTGAAAAAGAGATATTAAATTGAGAATAAAAAGTAAATAATTACTGCAAGAGAAAATAGACTTTAGTTTTATACAGTTAATGATGTTTTTAAATACCGCAGCAAGCATATATTAGGTATTCTGATATTAAACTAGTAGTTTTGCAACAAATGTAATTAGACTCTATTAGTAAATGATCAGTTCAACAAATGGAAAATAAAAAATAGGGGATCTTTTCCAGTAAAACATAACACATGCAAAACATTTTTTTCAAAAAAGCTACATGTACCAATTTGAAACTTAACAGCGAGAAAATATTATATCATTATAACTGTGATAAAATTTGTCTGAACATAAGAAATTCATCTTTTAGGCTATTGAATGGGATAGAATTTTCCTCCTTTGGAAAGAAAAGAGGACATGTACTTTTAAAATAAAAAAGATCTGCATTATATTTTTAGTTAAAATACTGCATTTATTGGTTAGAAGTTAGTTCAAGCAGGACAAAATTAAAGATATATTGAATTAATCAATATTTTTTACTCTTTATATTTAATTATGAATAATATAATTCAGCATAACCAAGCGTTCAGATATACTTAACTGAATTCAAATCAGAATTCTATTTTAAAATCTTTGAAATCAATTTGAACATACTTCTCAAATAACAAAGATATGGAAATTTTTAACAGAACACGATAAAAATATCAAAATCAAAACTGACATCTGATTCATAAAAAAGAATAACTTATTATGATAGTACAGAAAATTTACTGACTGAAGCAGAATAATTCTATAAGCTTCATTAAAATTTCGCCACAGTTTATATCAAGCTGTGTATCTAAGCATTTTACAAAATGAGAGACGCGAAGAAACTATTCTAATTACATTTTACATATATACAGCAAGTATTATTACTAGTAATATGATTATTTTTCTAAGGGGGAGGGACTGAAAAATAATCATTAAATTAATCATTCATAAAAAGTACTACAAGCCTTACAGCATGAAAGCTGTAAATTAATTTTATAATTTGAGGAATAAAATACAATCATTAGTGAGCAGAAATATTATAACGTTGATAATAACGCAATCCATAACATTAAAAACATAAACATTTTTTCATTCGGTAGTAAGCTTCGCCGCCTGGCTACTCAATAAATGTTTACATTTTGGAACTAATAAGATGGAACAACAGCGCCATCTGGTGAACGCGACATTTTAGGACCGTTTTTCTACTAGGCAGTTTCACCTCCTTCATTATACTCCGTGGATAAAACTAACAAAATTACCTTGACGTTTTAGCGATCACTTCCGTCGTCACCAAAATTGTTCGAAATTTGCAAGAACTAACCGTTCTCCTTTCTCCTAATAAACTTAAAATAAAATAACTTTACATATAAAATTATACAGCGTCATATTTATTTTCAAAATCCATAGAACTGCAACAAACTACAACAAAAATCAGATGATTGCCACTATTACAGTGATAAACTATGAAAAGAAAATACACAACTGAGGTTGGGTTCTAACATATCCTAGTTGGGTACTCACGTTTTAGGTCTTCCGGTGATAATATGTTCACCGGAATCTGGCAACAATTTTTAGTTGTTCAATGTCAGTGTGAGTGTAATCGTAGTTTTATTAATTATAATTATATTTAAATTGCGAAATATAGATATAAAATCTTAGATAATCCTTTAATAATTCCCCTTTTGCATTTCGAAATGGTTACTAGGTTGCATTATAAATATGCATTTTTAAGAGCATTTTGCTACTGACAATAGGCAAATTGTTACGATCATTTGTTTGTTTATTAACTTTTTTAATTATCATGCAAAGTAAGTTATTTCAGTTCTTATTTCAAGTATAAATTTTGCATGCGTATTTAAAAAATTATTAATAACGGGCATCATTTTTCAGTAATTTGATCATAAAATTATTTTTCATGTATTTAAATTAAAATTCAAAAACCAGAGCTAGGGTATTTAAAATTTGGAGGTGTGTATTTTTAATTGCTTTTGATGATAAGATAAGAATGACTTTTTTTTTTCAACGGTATGTAAAATAGAGACTAATACATTCACTAGAAAATTCGACGCTATTTAACTCGGCCGTAAATATATGTATATAAACTTATGTGGCTGAATCTTGAAATAGCGGTAAAAAACAGTTGTGTATTGTGTGTATGGGATATTATCGCGTGGTTCTGTAATTTTAGTGTGACTGATGTCTGGGTACTTGTTTATGATTTATTTATAGTGCCGTCGGTCATTCAGATGACATAAATTCAAAAATATGTAAAACTACAGATTTGCGTCACTGAATGTAAATAAATGTACATTATTATCTCTTTGTCTTTTTCATGTAGTAAAGTTAATTTTAGAAAAATTAAATGTACTCTAGAATGCTAGAATGAAGAAATTTCAGTTAACAAGTCCGAAATCAAGTTGGGTAAAGTGCAGAATCAGGCACTTATTTGTTTGGCGCTTTTAACAAGAGTAAAAAAGAATTGGATTTTTGTGAATTTCCTTTGACTTTTTAAGTGAAAATAGGTTGATGTGTACATGGATAAAATGAAGGGAGTGCGCAATGCAATTTTTGTGCAATTCTGGGATGTTTTTTTAAGTGAAAATAGGTCGATGTGTACATGGATACTGAGTATGTGCAATTCTTAAAAACGTGCCAAGCAGTGGGTGATTCTGCACTTTCTGCATCATATACATGAAAGTTTTAAATACAGTGAAACCTCTCAAAAGATACTCAGCCACATTTCCAGATAGTTTTCGTTATCCGTGCCCACATCCACAGAAACCAAAGAGACGGTGTTCATTACTTGTGTTTGTTTATTTCATCAAAAATACTTTTCTAAGATACCTCTGACTATCATACTTACTCAAACGCACTACACGGACATGCCACACGATACACAAGAAATAACACACTTTTAGAAGTGGTTGCATGAGGTGGTTCACTGCATTTGTTAAGCTGAAATGGAAATTTGTTTTTTAATAAAAATGTTAAGTAAATGGGCTATGATTTCTAAAATCTTTAGATCTTTATTATTGATAGAATTGAAGTGAGTCTTGGAAGCCAGAACTCATAAGTTGGAAAAAAAAAAAGTATTATACATAATTGTAACATCAGAGCTTAGTGAACAAGTTGCCTGTATTATAAGTCAACTGATGCCGACTTGTAAGCCAAGAGACATGCATAAATTCATTAGTTTTGAAGTTGTAGCTAAATAGAAAAAAAATTATAAAAAGCAAGATTTTGTTAAGTAAATATCCATCCATTTTATAAATTTGTGTAGTTCAATTATGATTAGTGATTTTTTTATTATTTCAATTTTCAATCTTCAAGAAGCAATGACTGGCTTACTTATAGTTGAAGTATTTTAATAGTAATATAGTGTTTCACTAATGGCAAAAACCTGCTTTCCTAAATAAATTGGTGTAGCAAATGCATCGGTAATGTGCATGCCGCCAAGACGGTATAGTGGTTAGGAGAGCCTAGTGCGATACCAAACTGCCTAGGTTCGAATCCCAAAGGCATGGTTGTAACTGTCTGTCCCGTCATGCAGTGGTGGCTACCTATTAGGAGCCTCTACAATAAAATGGCCACCACTTCTGACCTTTGGAGTGTCCAATGTTGAATAGGCAAGTATCCACAATTTAATTAAAAAGTATATAATAATGTGCCTTAGCACTTGCAATTGTAAATTTCAGATTTTTTCATTAAAATGCATTACATGACCAAAATTGCTAATCAGGAAGGCATATGTTATGTAACTCATATTTTTAGACTTGTGTGAGAGATTTGCTATTAACTATTCAAGAGATGTTTAATCCTCTAGTTGCCTACCCTGCAATTTCCACTGGTAACATTAAATGTGGAAAAATTTGCGGCTAATCTTTGGAGTAACAGGTAGTTTGGTGACATTTTGGTAAGGCAATAAAGCTAGCTAGGACTTTAGCAGTGTAACATGGGGCACAGCTTTAGTATTAGTCCTTTTTGGCGACATTTTGGAGCAATAAATGAAAAATTATGATAACCTTGGTAACCCTAAATACTGAGCTTCAAACATGCCGCCATTTCTGTCCACGTAACTTTAATGAATTTGATAGGTATCAGAGCTTTGATGGCAGGAGAGATAAATTGTGTGTTTTTCTTTAAAGTTACTTTTGTGTTAGGAAAGCACAACATTTAAAATATTTTTTTAAAAGCCAAATTTTTGTTAAAACTGGTGCTTTTACTATTACATCACATAAGTCTTGACATTTTTTCATATGTCAACTCTGCATATTATTATAAATTCCACCCCCCCCCAAGGAAAAAAAAAACACATTTTCAGTAGCATGAGGTAAACTCTTGGGGTTTCCTTTGCTAATGAGATCAAAATTACCATGGTCTAAAAATACTTATTTACCTCATATTAGAACTAAAGGGATGTGTAATTGCATGAATTCATAGGTTCAAATCAAGACCAAAATCAGGTTTCATTATTGCTTTTATAACATTTTCATAATTTGTCTGACTATAAAAAATATAATGTTGCTTAGATTATGGAATATGTTGCTTATAATTTAGAGTTCTCAAATTTTGTAAATTTTACAACCTAACAGCTGTATATGAATAACCTTCACTGAGTATTATTACTTTTATTAATAGTATGTTGACATAACAGTCGACTTTTTATTTTAAATTTTATGCAAATTTTCTACATTACTTAAACATTTTATCTAACAGAAATCTGAATTTTTTGTAATAAAAACTCTATAATAAAAGTAAGAGTACAATTTATATATAAAAATTTGACTACATGGGAAGCACTTAGATACTGATTTCAATGTCTTTAAATGTTATTATCATAAAGTTTAGATATATTCTTATTAAGATATACTTTTATTCTATTATAAAGTTTAGATGTACAGAACAGAAGGCACACTTTGTGCTTACGACTCAGTCAACCACTTGTGGCAAGATAACTTATGATAACAATTAAGTTCAAATGTAAAATTTAAATTCAAATAAATTTGTAGCCCAAACTCTGCACAAATCAATTTAATGCAAAGTTGGTTAAAAACTTAACTGGCATGGAATTCAACTATCAGCAATTATAATGCAAGGCTGAAGACTACAAATCTTTTCTTATCTAGCAACCTATTAATGTGGCCTCAAAAGGCAAAACACGGTTTGTTTTACAAAATAAAATCTTCATTTGGATTCTGGTGAGAAAACGGATGGAGGAAATTGACAGTAAAGATCCCAAGCATAAAATAAATCTGGTTACAAAATAAAGGAACGTTACAATATACTTTGTTCCCTGATTAATTATTCAGTACATAAAATAGTGTAATGCATTTTTGTATTTAGTTTATTTAAATGCTTTCCAAAACTGACAGGATTTTGCAAACATATTGACCATATATTTCGACCTATAGATGCAACACTTCTCTTCAGAAGTAAGATTTAGAATTAAGAAATAAGAAAATAAAAGAGAATTATGAATAGAAAATAAATACATATGCTGGCTAGCAGAAGAAGAATGCCTTCATAAAGTACATTTTTAAGAGAAACTGGGTTCAGATTCACATTACATCTACGGAAAACTACTAAATGTTATCCCATATAGCCAGCCTTGAACTACCACTGTTCAGTGGCTTATCACTCCACCACTAGTGGGATTTCAATGACTGTTCGAATTTTTCGCAGAAAATCATCATTTACGATGACTGTTGTTGTGTATTAATTACCATTGGTACAAAATTTACTCATTATGATAATTTAATTTTAGTTTTTAAATTATAATCATAAATTACTTGTAATAAATTGAGAGATTAAAAAATACACACTTCTTAATATTTTTACCATTTACAAAATTTAATCATAAAAAATATTTCTAACACTGGTACAAAACTTGCCCATTATAATTGAATTTGATTTCCTTCACTTTGAAATATTTTTTTTTATTTTCTTTTAATAACAGAATCTAAGAAACTGAAGTAACATATACTAGTTTGAAATGCATTTATTAACCTTTTGTAAATTTCATTATTCATAAACAAAAATTAACCTTTGTAAATTTAAAATATTAGCTAAGTACTAATATAATAAAATATAAATATGAACTAACTACTTAAAATATTAATGTTTAATACATTATATTTTGTAATTAAAAATGTTAACATTTTGTAAATTTCATTACTCATAACATAATAATTGTCATAAATTCATTTACAGTAGTGTTTCAAGAATTTATCATAGCAGTACTAGAAATATTGAAAATTAGAGAAAGACTGTTTATTCTGATTAAGAGCTTATTTTTTTAGGATTGTTATTTAGTCTAGATCGGGTTTTGTTGACAATCTGCCATTTTTTTTCCTATCTTCAAAACCGGGTCTACCTTGGCAACCGAAGTTTGTCGCCAAATAAAAAAATCGCCAAAAGGACCAATACTAAAGCTGTTCCTAACATGGATAAAGTCAAGAGTGTGCACAATGCCATTTTTGTGCAATTCTGGGATTTTTTTTAAGTGAAAATAGGTTGACGTGTACATGGATACCGTGTATGTGCAATTCTTAAAAACGCGGCAAGCAGTTTGCGATTCTTCACGATCTCTCAATTTCGCACCTAATCTTCGTCATGATTAAGCACTTTTGTTCCATAAAAGTTCTAGCATAAGCGTAATTCGGATAGCAGATTGTTGGGGGGGGAAAAAAACCACATGCCTTTACTTCATGAAAACAAAATGGCGTCCAAACAAAAAACTAGCAGGTTGCTGTAGCAGGGTTGGTCGGCAAATTTTCGCCAAAAAATCGCCAAATTGCCATAATACAAA